AATATACCACAGCTTCTCTATCCATTCGTTTGTTGATGGGCACTTAGGTTGTTTCCAACTTCTTGCTATTGTGAACAAAGCCGTGATAAACATGGGTGTGCATATATCTGCTTGGATGTCAGTTATGTTCTCTTTGGGGTATATTCCCAGTAGTGGAATTGCTGGGTCAAATGGTATCTCCATTTGCAACTTTTTGAGAAAGTGTCATACCTCCTTGCACAGTGGTTGTACCATTTTACATTCCCACCAACATTGAATAAGAGTTCCAGTTTCTCCACAGCCTCACCAGCATTTGTTGCTTGCTGTTCCGTTAAATTTTCTTATTCTTACTGGGGTGAGATAATATCTCATAGTTGTTTTAATTTGCATCTCTCTTAGAGCTAGGGATTTTGAACATTTCTGCATGTGCTTGTTAGCCATCTGAATGTTTTCTTTGGTGAAATATCTGTTCATATCCTGTGCCCATTTTTCTATTGGATTATTTACCTTTATCTTGTTGTGGTGAGATGACACCATTTAAACTTGAGAGTTTTGGGGAGAAAAGTGCCCTGAATTAAAATAGCCTTTGTGATGATGATAACCATTTGTTTGTAACAAACCTCAGTATAGCGTTTACCTATGAGTATTTAACTAAAGATAAAGTTCAGTTGCTTCATGGCAATGCTTGTACAAATGTTTTTCATCTCTTTCAGTATGTCCTGTTGAAGATAAAGTTTGAATCTTACCCAGAAATAAGAAAAAGGGATAAAAGCCCTGTCATCCTACAGTTGTGTTTTATTTGAACCAATGGATGGTAAATATACCAGGAGGCCATGGTGCCAACAGAGGAAGGGAATATGACATGGTTTAAAATTAAGAGGGAGGTAAATCAGGGTTGTATTTTCTTTCCATACCTATTCAATCTGTATGCTGAGCAGATTATTTGAGAAGCTGGACCATATGAAGAGGAATGTGGCATCAGAGAGACAGTCATCAATAACCTGCTTTATGCAGATGACACACCTTGCTTGCTGAAAGCGAGGAGGACTTGAAACACTTATTGCAGAAGATCAAAGAATATGACCTTCCATATGGATTGCATCTCATTGTCAAGAAAACAAAGATTCTTACCAATGAACTGATAGGTGACATAATAAAAGATGGAGAAAAGATTGAAACTGTTAAGAACTTCATACTACTAAGACCCAGAGTTAACACCCTCGTACCAGAAGTCAGGAGACATATTGCGCTGGGAAAATCTGCGGTTAGGGACCTCTCAATTATTGAGGAGTAATGATGTCGGTTTGAGGACTAAGGTGCATCTGAGTAAGGCTGTGCTCTTTCCTATCACTTGCTACGCATCTGAGAGCTGGACAATGAATAAGACAATGATAAGGACAGAAGAACTGATGCCTTTAGCTGTGGTATTGGAGAAGAGTCCTGAATATCTCATGGACTGCCAAAGAAAAAACAAATATGTCTTGGGAAGGGTGTAGCCAGAATGTTTTTGGAGGCAAAGATTATGAGGCTTTGCCTAACCTACGCCAAACATGCTAGGAGGGACTATTCCTTGACAGGGACATGATACTTGGAAAGGTGGAGGATCAGTGAAGGAGAGGAAGACCCTCAACCAGGTGAATTGACATGGTGACTTCCTTAATGTGTCAAGAAGTGTGAGGTTGGAAAAGGATAGGACAGGGTTCAAATCTGTGATTCATAAGGTTACTATGGGTCATATTTGACATGACGGCACCTAACAACAATGACAACAACAACAGCAACAACATGGGTAGTACAGGTATTTAATATGCTTGGCTGCTGATTTATAGGTTAGAGGTTTGAATTAATTCTGATGTGCCTCAGAAGAAAGGCTTGCTGACCTATTTAGGAAAAATCAGCCTCTGAAGACCCTAGGGAGATGACCGATGACTACTATGGTTTGTGTGTGTGTGTGTGTGTGTGTGTTCTCTCTCTGTATCTCTCTCTCTCTCTCTCTCTCCTGGGATTATTTTATTGAGACTGGATGTGATGTTTAATGGTGATCTAACTTTTTGTGTGATTGTGTTATTTAAAAATTAGACTTAGTATTAGTTCTTGCTTTCTTTTTGTCACCTGCACTTGTTTTCAAACAGTAAAGGCAGCTAGAACAAATGGATGGTCTGCAAACGTGATCTGATTTATTGAGGAATCTACAGTTAACTGTTGGTCTGTCTGACACTCAGATCATATCCTTGGTCTGTGTTACCTTTAAATCTTAAGAAGGTAGCTACAGCTACTGTGTGTGTTTCCCTGATCTACTCTTGGATCTAAATGTACATATATTTTCAAATACTTCAGTGTCTTTGGCTGTTTAATATACCTGAATGGCTAGTACATAGCTCTCAGTATGGCTATGGGTATGATTAGGAACCTACCTGACCCTCCAGCGAGTTTTCTGAGGCTATTCATCTCGTGAGAAGATTGCCCATCCTTTTCCCTCAGAACAGCTGATGGATTAGAATCACCTATCTTTCAGTTGGTAGTGCAACTCCTTATGAAGCAGGCCATCAGAGCTCCCTCCACTAGTCCTAGACCATTTAAATTTTCCTCACAGTCATGAGAGAGTTCTGGTTTGGACTCTATCGATTTAATCTCCAGTAACTCCTGAGAACTTTTAGCAAAAAATATCCCAGTGTTGCCAATGTTATACTAAGAAATGTGTTTGAGATCTAATGAAATGGAATTTATTTTCTTTTCCAGTTCTGTCAGGAGGACCATTGCCTCAAGGCCATGAATTTGAACTATATGAAGTTAGATTTCACTGGGGTAGAGAAAACCAGCGTGGTTCTGAGCACACAGTTAACTTCAAAGCTTTCCCCATGGAGGTAAGCATAATGAGTTGTATAGTAAAACTCTGGTTATTTATATAAGATATCTAACAGTTACTGAAAATAGTTTTATATAAAAGGAGCTACAGAGCTCGAGTTATAGTAACTTACATTAAAATACTAAAGATGTTTTGTGGTTATCCTGTTTTTACAATAATGGTCGTATGCAGTGTTTGTTCTTAAGAGACTGAGTTATTTCACTCAGCCTAATCCTCTTCAACCTCTCCCAAGTTTGTAGTATTTTTAGAAATCATTGCTTCTGAGTTCTGCAGAGTATTCCACAGAGTAAATATACTACAATTTCTCAATCCAGTCATTTATACTTGGACATTCGGGCTATATCCATGTTCTTGCAATGGTGAATAATGCTGTTATGAATGTTGGTGTACAGATCTCCATTTGTGTCTCAGTTCTAATTTTCTTGGGTTATATACCTAGTAGTGGAATAGCAAGGTCATATGGAATTTCTGTGTTCAACTTTTTGTGAAAATGCCAAACTGTCTTTCAGAGTGGCTGTACCATTTTACAACCCCACAGACAGTATGAGAGTTCCCATCTCTCCACATCTTCTCCAGTATTTGTTGCTTGCTGCCCAGCTAAACTTTGCCACTGCTACTAGTAAAACATGTATGAGGACCCAACAGAGGAAGGGATGAGAGCAGAGATGCGTGGGGTGAAACCACAGGGTTGCACAGTTTGCTGCGTTGAGGGAGGGGGGTAGGAAATGGGAAGGATCTGGCAGGGACCTGAAAAGATTGGATAATGATGGGCAAGGTCCAATGGTGATTGATTTTATAAAACATAATGTGTGGGAATGTTTGTATGAAACACAGTTTGAATGAATGAACAGTGTGAAACAAATGCATATAAATTTTGTGAGCAAATCAGTATAAGATAAAAATAATAATAAAAAATAATGTTTTGTGAAATGTGAACTGGGGCAGCAATAAAGTGTCACACCTACCTTAGGGGACTGGGAGTATGCATAGTCTTCCATGAGCATTTCAAGGTGAAGGTGATCTCTACCAGGTAAGTTTCCTGTGGTGTGATTACTGTTTTAAGAGTTTGACTGCTTCTGAAAATTTAGCAGGCCACTTTTGTAGATGCTGTGAGTAGGTGATGAAATGGATATGGATAAATTTGAGAAACCTCAAAAGTGATTATCAGTCTAGTTTAGCTGTGTTTAAAGGAGAAATCTGAAGTGATTAAAAACTGTTAACTGTTAAAATTAGTAGGTTGCTTTTGTTTAGCCCAAGTCATGAGAGACAGAGACAGGTATCTATTATCAAGTCGCTTTCTTTTTTTTTTTTTTTTTGTCTTAAGAATTCTACCCCTGGGCATACATTCTTAGTCAACTCTTGTTCTTTATTCACTCCAGTTGATATATCATTTCGTCTATGGAACTAAGCTTCATTGTTGTTGTTATTTCCTATCAAGTTGGTTCAGACTCATTTGCAACTGTGAGGAAGTAGAGTAAATTTTTCTCTTTAAATTTTCAAGGATGTGACCTTTTGGAAGCATGTCATCAGACTGCTTTGAATGGAGCCTTTTGGTGAGTAGTCCAGCGATTATCCAGTCTCCCCTGAGCTCCTTAGGCAGAATTCATTTCTCTGTCTTCTATGCTCTTGAGATGCTTGATAATGTCACTGGTGCAGCACTGTTTCATATTGTCATATATTGACTGTCTTAGGTACCTAATGCTATTGTAACAAAAAATTCAAGCTTTCAAGAGCAGAAATTTATTTTCTCTCAGTTCTTGAAGCTAAAAGTCTGCATAGAGTCTTGGTTGTGTTGATTTCTTTTGTGAGCCCCTCTTTTTGACTCTGGTGTCTGCTGGTGGTCCTCTTCTTGAAAATGAGACCTCATATATTTTCTCCCCATTTTGTGTCCATGTCTCTTCTGATCTTTTTATAACTTAGAAGTGATTAGATTTAAGATGCATGCTTCCCTGATAGGACCTCAGCTGACTGATTAAATCACAATACATTGAATTATGGAAGGATTTTACCTCACATTACATTGTAAGGTGATTATAGTACTTTGTGCAAAGTAATCTGCTCTACTTATTGTTGTTAGGGACCTTCACATTGATTGTGGCTCACAGTGACCCTGTGTTCAATGGACTATCAAATGAAACATATTTGATCCTGTGCCATCCTCACAGTTTCAACTGTACTTAATTCCATTGTTTGCAGTCATTGTGTCAGTCCATCGTGTTGAGGCTCTTCTTCACATTTTATGACCCTTCACCTTTCCAAACATGATACTCTTTCCCAAGGACTAGTACTTTCTATCAATATGCCAAAAGTATGCAAGACAGTCTCACAATCTTTGGTTCTGAGGAGTACCCTAACTGTACCTCTTCTAAGACAAGTTTATTTTTTTGTTTTGGAAGTCCATGGTATATTCAGTACTCTTTGCCAAGACAAAGGCACAAACTATTCAGTCTTGCTTATTCATTTTCCAACTTACACATGCATATGAATGAATTGTAAAGACTGTGGCTACACCTTAGTCTCTAAACTGATGTCCTTGCTCTTTTAAGAAGTTCTTGACAGCAGATTTGCTCAGTGCACTAAGTTGTTTGATTGTGGATCCAAGTAAAATGAAATTAAAGATGTCTTCAATCTTTTTTTCCTTATCAAAAAACTCAAACATATTGCTCTTGTGTCAGAACCAGCTCATAGCTGACCCTCCAGTGAGTTTCCGAAGCTATTAATTTCATGAGGAGGAAGATTGTTCATCTTTCTCCTTCAGAGCTGCTGGTAGATTTGAACGGCCCGAGAGTTGCCACCTTTAGGTCAGCAGCACAACTCTGCATGGACTAGGCCATCAGAACTCTCCTTACTTAATCAAGTAACTACTCCACAAAGGCTGCTAGGTTAGTGTTTGGCCAAACAACTGAGCACTGTAGCCTAGCCATTAAATTAATCCATAAAGTTAACCATCACAGTGAACACTATGTCCTTCCTTACTTGACTGTGAGCTCCTTGAGGACATGGTCACCCTTTTACTTAAAGAATTCATGCCATCATCTGTTATTAGTCTCAGCATAAATAACCAGTCTGTGTTTATGAAATTGAGTGGATGTCTCTGTTGGTCTAGGAGCTGTAGTTGGCCCCTATCCCCAAGAAATAACCTCTGGGTGGAGAGTAAGAGGGCGGTGATGTGCTTTGTGTCGAAATGGCAGTCTTTGTTTTTATCTGTCCTTGCGCTTTATTAAGCTTCATCTTGGTCAACACCACATCCAACTCCTCCTCAATGTCTGAGTCAGCACTATGTGATTTTATAGAAAGGACATGCATCCTTTAAAGAATAAAGTTTCATATATTGTTGTAGTTAAGTGCCATCGAGTCGCAGACAACTCATAGCAACCCTATGAAGGAGAGTCCTCAATGCTTGGGTGTCTTTCATCCTCTCTCCAGGTTCATAGGATTTCCGGAGGCAAGCTGTTATGGAAGTGGATGCCACTCCTACTTCCAAGCTTGTTTTAATCTGGGAGCTCCACCCCACTCTGCCCGCATTGGGTAACCAACCATTAACACATTTGACACATGAATATCACAGTGTTCATCAGTGTTTTTAGGTTTTAAAGTTTCATATAGTGTTTAAGAAATGAAATCTAGATAGCTCTTTCATTAAAAAAAAAAGGTCTTAAAGTAGAAATATTTTAAAAGTGCCTAGAGTAAAAGAAGTTGTTCCTCTAACACTCAGTGCCTTATGGAAATTTGTTATCTTATAGTTAGAAAACTTTCAGTCATTTGTTTAATCAAAGCAACATTTATTAAGCTTTACCATGATGTTGTATTGTAAGTACATACTTGGTTCTACTGTCAGAAGGATACAAATACACACACAAAGAAAGATTTCTATTTTCAAGATCCATACCAGTTTACAGTCTAGTGTAATAATTCTTAACCTGATGTAAGGGTTGTGACTGAAGTTTTGAAAGTCTATGGATGTCTGATCCTGGGAAGCTGCTCAAAGAGATAGCAGAAGCTTGAGGATGTTAGAGCCTAGAGGCATTCTTGACTCTGACTCTGCTGTCAAAGATGGGAGCCCATCCACTTTTATCTCAGAAGGCCAAGTCAAGGATTTCTGACATTGTGAGTGATTTCTTTGACCCATGATACTAAAGACGATTGTGCCATAGCCACTTCAGCTAGAGGGAGGATCTGTCCCAATCATATTTTCATGTTGTTGTTGCTGTTAGGTGCTGTCAAAAGGGAGTCCACCAATACCTGACCCTACAGAAGCTGTAAATCACCTGAGAATGAGATGGCCAATCTTTTTCCTTTAGAGAAACTGGTAGACTTTAACCATGTGTGTTTAGGGTTGACAATGCAACCTCCTTGCCCACAAGGCTACCAGAGCTCCCATATCCTCATAGAAGTGAATGTTTGAATTTTAGCATTTCAGGACACATCAGAAAACAATGGCAGCCTTAAGCTCTCTTTGAGGTTAGTCAAATTATACCATCAGTTCTAGGCTTAGAAATGGTCTTAAAGTTTATAGGCCTAATAACTTCCAATGAAAGAGCCACTGCCTTCATCTGAGAAGATAGACATCTGGGAGAGGAGGGTATATGATTTCCATAAGATAGAAATATGAGCAGCTGACAAAGATCATACAATGGACAACAGACTGGTTATGTGATGATGGTGCCTTAATTTACACCTTTACCTTATTTTAGGTTTACTCTAACCCTTATCTTCACCCTCTCTTTACTTTGATCCACACCCCAATTTTACCTTGCTTTACTCTTTCACTCTACTTTACCCTGTTCCTACCCTCACCTTATCCTTACCCTAATTTAACTTTAGTTCTTATTCTAATCTTCAACCTATCCTTACCTAAACTTTACCCTGAATCTCATCTTAACTTTAATCTTCCATTTTATCCTACCCTCACCTCACCCTAATCCTAACTCTTAACCTTCTCTAACTCAATCATAACCTTCAGCTTAACTCCCACTCTCACTTTAACCTTCAGTAGCA